AGAGAGAGACACAGTGAGAGAGGGAACAGAAGCAGGGGGAGAGGGAGAAGCAGGGGGAGTGGGAGAGGGAGAAGCAGGCTTCCCACGGAGCAGGGAGCCCGATGCGGGGCTCGATCCCAGGACCGTGGGATCATGACCTGAGCCGAAGGCAGACGCTTAATGACTGAGCCACCCAGGCACCCCCAAAATTTATTACCATATTTTATTGTATATTGTAATATTTTGAAAATACATAAAAATTTTTTATTGTGTTAAATTATTTTAGTCTGTCAATTGTGTATAATTTCAGAAATTCGTAATGGCTCTTCCCTGTCAAAATAAAGATGTGTGTATAAAACATCTAAAAATGCACAGAACAGAGAAAACAGACCTCCGGTACACATACCACCACCATTTGATACATGGCTCAACTTGCTACATTTTCCTATTGCTTTCTGGAACTACTTATCTTGATATTTTGGAAGACCAGTTTCCAAAACGAGAATTCAGTCATGCCTTAGACTCACAAAGGTAACGGCAAAATACCATAACAAATATGCAGACGTGTGTTTTGGCCCACTGAAAGCAGCTGGGCATCGTGCCTTTTTCAGGGTACTGTGTGCAGTCAGCTATGATTGCTGAGTAGCTTAGCTGCATTCTTAACTACGGTTTCTTCACTTAAAAATGGGGAAACAGGAAAACCAAGAATGGTTACACAACCTTAGAGTTTTGTTTGGTTATTTTAAAACAGAGGCCTCAGAGTCATCTAATAATGAGGGATTCTTCTAAAAGTCAGCAGAACTCAAAGGAAGGAGGTAGAAAATGAAAACTTGAACATGATGATATAGGTTTTCAAAGCTCTTTCCAACACCAGGTCCTTTCGGAAAACTATAGAAAAGATAGTAAATGAGTTAACACAAATAGAGAACAGATAAAATTACAAAGAGGAAAAAAAAAAAAAAGGAAGCCAAACAATCACAACAGAAATTAACAGTAGCCCAGTTTGAAAATGGTAGCCATCTTCCCTGATGTGGTGAATCCCTTTCTTGTTATCCCTGCCAACAAAAAAGACTTAAAAACTTGAGCCCCATTAACAGTAGACACTATAAACTCACTTTGAATAAAAAGATTCAATGTATATTTGCCATTATTATTTTATTTTTTATTTATTTTTTTTTTAAAGATTTTTTTATTTATTTATTTGACAGAGACACAGTGAGAGAGGGAACACAAGCAGGGGGAGTGGGAGAGGGAGAAGCAGGCTTCCCGCAGAGCA